AACCTCCTGAATATTTGCATCGATGTCCTCTTCCTCCATAATCAAGTTAGGGATGCTGGCACTAATGTTGTTGCTAGGGGGGGCAAGTTCCTGAGCATGGACCTTACTATTTTCACCCCCTGGATGTATCTTGCTCTGAGGCTGCTGATGGTCATGAGCTTTTGGCACTAATGTTGTTGCTAGGGGGGGCAAGTTCCTGAGCATGGACCTTACTATTTTCACCCCCTGGATGTATCTTGCTCTGAGGCTGCTGATGGTCATGAGCTTTTTTCCATAAAAGGAGAGGAACTACATTTTTGTTTAAATACACCCGAGTTGGAAAAATACCTCTTGTTCTTAAGAATCTTTTATCTCGTAACAGGGCTGATGGAATATGTGATGAGTTAAAAGTTAGAACCACTCTGCAAGTGTGGTGTCTACTAGTCAGAGATTCAATGTCTTTTAGGTCAATCACTCCAAGACGGTTTCCTATTAAAGCTTCCAAGTGTTCCTTAACCGCAGACCTAGAGTACCAGTTAGGTAAACTGCCCCTAAAGGGGCATACAGTCAAACATACTTTGGCTGGTTGTAGAACTAGCTGGGAGAGTCTATCCCGATTATTAGGCTTTAAATATACCCCGTTTGACACAGGAGCATGCGCTTGGTTTCCCTTCTTGATAGCCGCTCGAGGGAGTAAAACGTTTGCACGACTGCCCTCTTTAGGCCCACTATAAGTGTCATTTTTATCCACATTATACTCACACTTAGAGGGGTTTCCCATCTGGTTGCAAATAAATTCTATTTTGTTGTGCATCCCCTGTAATGATTTACAGATGTAACTTACAGTTCTTGCCGTCAGCAACAGCAATTCAGAGAAGTCTGTAGTTGTTTCCGCATTTCCTTTCTCATTCTCATCAGGCTGCTTTACAGGACTCCCGTTATTTGCTAATTCCTCCTCAAAGATAGAAGCATATGATGTGGAGGAAATAGAAGGCTCTTCCGATGCATCCAGGTTCTCTAGTACAGCAAAACGGTTGGAAGTCGTAACTTGAGGCGTAAAAAATTCATCAATCTTCTGCTGCTTTGAGGAGGGGGGTGTGTGGTCTTCAGCCTCCCTCAGACGCTTACAAGTTTTCATTATAATCCAAGGTATCAAGTTTATAGTTCATTAAAAAAGACAACTCTTAAAACTTCTTCTACTAAATTAGCTTAAAACTGAGCCCAGAGAGCAAAGATAATTACTAATTGCCCCACAATATGTGTAGCATTGAGTGAGCCTCGAGCTGATAAGATTGATAAATTACTCTTTTAAAACTTCTTTAAAACTTCGGGTAGAAAAAGTAGTTTGAAGCCTGCCGACCTTCGAACAGCACCCAGCGTGCTGTTAAACAATCTTGTCCAAGATAATTTTGGTAAACGTAAAAAAGTACCTTGGAGTGGAAGACGCCGTGATAGTATTTACAGCCGAGTAGCTAGAGCAATTAAATTGATTGTTTACTGTTACCCTCAGCTATCCAAGGCTGTCCAGATTAAATCCACAGGCAACCAGCAGTTATAGCCAAACATAGAGCAAAAAGAAAGTCCAACAGGAATGTTTGGCAGGCTAAAACAATAATTAAAACACAGAGCTCAGTGCGTGGCCTCTGCCTCCGTCGCCATCTTGGTCAGTCACCAAGAGAGTCTTGTGGTACCCTAAAAACGGAACAGCTTCATTTCGGCATAAGTGTTCGTGAACTAAGGCCCACTTCTTGAGATGTTCACGGGTAGATCCAGAGGTCCGTTCTGGGCAGCAGCTCCCTGGGTCCACCTGAAGCACCTGCTTGGATCCAGGCCTTACTTCCAGAGGTTCATTTGGGCTCATAGGAAGTGATTGGAATGTGGAATTTGCTGGCAGAGGATGCGGTGATGGCCACAGGAATATACAGCTTTAAAGGGGGATTAGATAGATTCATGGAGGATAAGTTTGTCAGTGGCCACTAGGCATAGTTCATGAGGGGAACCTTCACCTTCAGGGGCACGAAGCCTCTGAATCCCAGAGCAAGAAGGCAACATCAGGAGAAGGCCTTGGACTCTCTGCCCTGTTGTTGGCCCTCCAGAGGAACTGGTTGGACACTGTGTGAGAGACAGGAGGCTGGACTAGATGGACCCTCACTGGTCTGATCCAGCAGGACTCTTCTGATGTTCTAATGAAGGCCTCGGCCTCTGTGCCCTGTTGTTGGCCCTTCAGAGGAACTGGTTGGACACTGTCTGAGAGACAGGAGGCTGGACTAGGTGGACCCTCACTGGTCTGATCCAGCAGGGCCCTTCTGATGTTCTAATGAAGGCCTCGGCGTCTATGTCCTGTTGTTGGCCCTCCAGAGGAACTGGTTGGCCAATGTATGAGACAGGGTGCTGGACTAGAGGGACCCTCACTGGTCTGATCCAGCAGGGCTCTTCTGATGTTCTAATGAAGGCCTCGGCGTCTATGTCCTGTTGTTGGCCCTCCAGAGGAACTGGTTGGCCACTGTGTGAGACAGGATGCTGGACTAGATGGACCCTCCCTGGTCTGATCCAGCAGGGCTCTTCTGATGTTCAAATGAAGGCCTCGGCCTCTGTGCCCTGTTGTTGGCCCTTCAGAGGAACTGGTTGGACACTGTGTGAGAGACAGGATGCTGGACTAAATGGACCACTCATCTGATCCAGCAGGGCTCTTTTTAAGGTTCTTAACTTTTCCTTCTGTTTGAGAGGAGTGGCTCCACATTGGATTTATACTTTTTGCCAATGCATATGAATGTATTAACTAGCCATAAGCGTGTCTACCAATGCACAAACCTGCGTCCGGGATTCTCTATGTTCGTAAGCTTTACGCAGTACCCCCGATCCTCCGTGTTTCCCGGTTAAGGGGAAAACACTCTTCAAGCAAGTCACAAAGATGACCTGACTCGGATGGTGACAAGAGAAAGAAATTTTACTTAGAAAAAATAGAAGCCTGTCTTACATGACATATTCATGTAGGTACATTTAACTTATTGTGGACAGATTAACTTCAAAAACAGGTTACTTTGCTGCAGTTCCAACCCCAGGTAAGAGAGAGAAGAAGAGCAATTTAAGATGAAAGAGAAGGCAAAAGGAAGGGCCAGAGAGGCTCAGTATCTAACCCATGAGAGGGTCGGGGGCCAACTGCCAAGTGTACCCCAGTGAGAGAGAGAGAGAGAGAGAGAGAGAGATCTCTTAACCCTTTCCCTCCCAGGTCCTCCTGCATGCAGGAGTTATAATGTCCAGCAGGTTGCTGTTGGAGTTATGCATGACCCTGGCGTTTTGTGGTTGCGCCCACCACCCTCTATCAGCATTCCAAAGGTGCCTGTGGGCTCAGAAAAGTTGCTGTCCTACAGCCTTGTTGGCCTAGTGAAGCCTCCCGCCTTGCATCAGAGCTCTCACCTCAAAGACACAGTCAATTGCAAGGGAAATAGTTTCTCCTGGTCAGCGTGTTTGGGGGCCCACAGAAAATACCTCCTCGCGATTAGAGCGTGAAATAGCTTCCGTATACTTCCTTCTTCTTTTTGGTTAGGCTGACTCTCTTATCTTGGTTTCCCCTGTTTTATTTACTTCCCCCTCTGCCCCTCTCACGCAGACTCCATCCGCGCCAGCCTCAGTTTCACCAGCAAGCCCCAGCGGACCTTCTGTAGCCCACCTGAGCCTGCTCCGCCTCTCCTGGGCTCGCACACCACCCCGGGGGCGTTCGTCCTTCCGTCCTACCCCTTCTCGTCGCCCGGCCACAGTCCAAAGCGCGCCTCCCCTCCGGCGGATCCGCTGAAGAGGTCACCAGGGCACGGGGTCAGCTTCTCCAATTCCTGGCCGCTTAAGAGCTTCGAAGGCCTTCCGAAACCCACTGCCCAGAAGAAGTTCTCCAGCCCGGTGGCCGGAGGGGACACAGGTAAGAGTCCACGTGAGAACAGCCTTGGGCGGGCTCCGGCGTGTAAGAGGCAGGGAAAGAAGGCGGAGCAGCACCCAGACCCGCCCCAAGGGCAGATGGGAATGCATTCGTGAAACTGGAACGGCTCAGCTGGCTTGCTTTATTTTGGGCAGTGCAGGGAAACGGCGAAGGAGAGGGGGTCATGGAAGAAAAGCTGTGCCGCTTCCTCTGACCGGGCCTGGGCTGAAAGGATGCCACCTCAAGGCCAGGGCAGTCCAGGCTTCCTCTGAAGCTCCTGGCACCGTCCACACGGGCATCCCTCTGCACCAGGGGTCTCCAACCATTTTGAGCCTGCGGGCACCATTGGGATTCTGACACACCAGGGTGGGATGTTGCCACAAAATGGCTGCCCCCGGAGGTGGAGCCGGCCGCAAAATGGCTGCCCCCAGAGGTGGAGCCGGCCGCAAAATGGCTGCCCCCAGAGGTGGAGCCGGCTGCAAAGTGGCTGCCCCCAGAGGTGGAGCCGGCTGCAAAGTCGCTGCCCCCAGAGGTGGAGCCAGCCGCAAAGTGCCTGACAACATTCCTGCAGAGTCGGCTGCATACACTCCCTTCTCAGTAAAGCCCAGTGGGTAAGACAGGCAAATCCCTCCATTCTCAACAGTAAAAAATAAAAAGCATCCAAACTCCCACCTCCTCCTCCTCATCGAGCTCCTTGTTGATGTCCAGCTCTGACAGGTCGATCAGTGGCTGCCCCTGGAGGTGGAGCCAGCCGCAAAGTGGCTGCTGCAGCTCACCTACCGTTACACGTTGACGATCCTTGTGCCGGGTGGCAGCTACTTAGGGTTGCCATCTCCGGGTTGGGAAATTACTGGAGATTTAGATAGTGGAGGTTAGGGAGGGTGGGGTTCGAGGGGAGGAGGGACTGCAGTGGGGGGTACACTTCCACAGAATCCAACCTCCCAGGGGGCCAGTTTCTCCAGGAGAACTGACCTCTCTCGTCTGGAGATCAGATGGACTTTCAGGAGATCCTCAGGCCATGCCTGGAGATTGGCAACCCTACAACTGCTACCAGTTTGGAGTAGTGGTGAAGTGCACGGACTCTAATCTGAGAGAACCGGGTTCGATTCCCCACTCCTCCTCCTCCTCCACATGCAGCTGCTGGTGTGACCTTGGGTCAGTCACACGTTCTCTCAGAGCTGTTCTCTCAAGAGCAGTCCTCGGGAGAGCTCTCTCAGCCCCACCCACCTCCTAGGGTGTCTGTGGTGGGGAGGGGGAGGAGATTGTGAGCTGCTCTGAGACTCCCTTGGGTAGTGAAGGGCCATGGGGTATAAATCCAGTCTCCTCCTCCAAAAAAAAATGTCATTTAAAACAAACAACCCCCCCCCCCACCAGCACAGCCAATCAGGCCCCACCTGGCCCAGGCACCACGTTGGGGACCCCTGCCGTGAATGGGTCCTTGGGGGATCAAGACCAGGGCCTGGGGGAGGAATCGGTCGTGGGGCGGGGCAGGCAGGGCCTGGGCCGATGCGAGCAGAAACAGGTTCCCCTCCTCCGGAGACCTCGAGGGGGTCTCAAGCATGCAGCTGCCGCAGCCCCTGTACAGCGCCCGTCTGCGGGGCCGGGAGCAAGCCATGCGACTCTCTCTGTGTGGAGGAATGCCCCTCCCGCTTCTCAGTGGAATGCATTTTCTGGTGATAAGCATTTGGATCCCGAGCACTGCGAGCAGAGGTGCTCCAGCAGAACGGAATCCCCCGCTCTCCTCTTTCCTGCTCCAGCCTGGGGGGGGGGGGGGCTGCGGGCACTCGT